CCAGTAATAAATTCTCTGAACTAAGATCATAAGAATTGTTCGGTTGGCAGTAAGGAGAATTACAAATCTGATCTAGAAGTGGGTTGTGGAAAACATGGTAGGTCATGGAATTTTATTATTTTATTTTCCAGGCCTTGAAAGTGGTGGAATTTAGGTTTGGTTCCTGGAAAATCATGAAAAGTCATGGAAATCAGCAGATTATCTGTAAGTGCCAAGCAATGCAGATCCAAAATAAGATTTAATTTCAGTAGAATTAAACTCTACATTAGGGTGTGTTGCAAGATCTACACTTGTGCACATTTTTGTGTACACTGCAAACTTGCATGACATTTATGCAAATTTGTGTGTTGTTTGGAGTGAACCAATCAGCACACTTGCTCAACTAAGCTCATTGAATTTTTTTAAAAGTTATGGAAAAAGTCATGGAAAGTTGTGGAATTTCTCTGCTCAAATATGTACAATCTCTGTGATAGCGAGTGTAACAGTGATCTCTTAGCCTTAAACCTGACCCAACTAGGGGGCTAACCTAATCTTTAGCTTTCACAGGCTTAATGAAGGAAAAAGTTAACCCTGAAGAAAAGATATTGAGGATAAGGGGGGAGGGGGTTTACACCTGCTTTAGTTAAACAGTATTTCATGATCACAAATTTGAAAGGAATGGAAAAAAACTCACCTCTCACCTTTTTACCTTGTAGACTATTGCCTCTCCGTAAAACTCATGTGTCACTTATAAGTTTTTGGCTTAATTATACATCACTTACAAACCCTTTTCCACCCCCCCTCCCCCCATACGAACCCTTTGTAGACCCTCCTGGAGGGGAGGCCTGTCAAGAAAGGTGACCTTTCCTCCATGTAAAAAGGCACTTACGGGAGAGTTGAAAAGACTGACACCTGCTCTGTGGACTACCCATTGACCCCCGCTCTGTGGACTACCCCACGGACTACTCTGCTGACTACCCTGCAGACTACCCCCACGGACTTCCATAAATAATCAACCAAATTTTACTATTATGGGGGAAGAGACTCAAGCCTACCTGCTCAACCATGAACCCTAA